ACCCAGTGTCAGATTCACAAGCTCGCCCACCCCTTATGCCAGACAACAGGCCCCACCCTACTCAGGACCACAAGCCACTCAGTCAGGACCAGCCTAACGCCCACTGCTCCAGATGACAAACCCCACCCCTTCCTTAGGCCCCACCAGAAGCCCCGCCCCTCAGGTTCCACCCAGCCACCCCGCCCCCATCACTCCGGGCCAGTTTCTGCAACGTGCAGGGCTCGGCCTTCACCTGCGTGGCGCGCTCCAGCTCCACCTTGAGCTGCGCCAGCTGCAGCGTCGTCTCGGTCAGGGCCTCGCGCAGCCGCTCATTTTCCACGCGCAGCTCTGCATACAGCTGAGGGCATAGGAGGAGGCGGGTCAGGGCGGCCTGCAGCCCGAGGGGGGCGGAACGGGGGGCCTGACGGCAGCTGGTGAGGCAGGGGAATGGGGGCAGGGCGAGGTAACCGTGGGACGCAGGGAACTTTACGGGAAAACTGGAGGCAGGGGCCTAGCAGGTAACAGGTGACAGGTAACAACAGGTCACTGCACGTCAGGTGCCCTGAGTCAGCTCTGACTCACAGCGACCCCATGTACAACAAAACGAACACTGCCCGGTCGCTGCCAACCTCACAGCCCTGCTATACTTGAGCCTGTGGTTGCAGCCACAGTGACATCCAGTCACTGCATAGGCGGCAGCAAACGCGTTGTTGTCGAATCAATTCCGACTCAGCACCCCTAGAGGGCAGGGAGGAACTGCTCCTTAAGGCCGCAATCTTTACCCAAGCAAACTGCCTCATCTTTGTTCCCAGAGCAGCTGGTGGGTTTGAACAGTGACCCTTCGGTTAGCAGCTGAGCGCTTAACTACGGCGCCACCAGGGCTCCTCATAAGCCCTGGTGCAGAAACGGTTAAGCACTCAGCTGCAAACCGCAAAGCCAGCGGCTGGGCGGGAGAAAGACAAGTCGACCTCCTCCATAAGGATTGTTGTTGTTGTTGTTATGTGCCGTCGAGTCGGCCCCGACTCATAGCGACCCCTCCTTGGGTTTCCGAGGCAGTATCACTACGGAAGTAGGATTGTCCAACCTTCCTTCCGAGATTACAGCCTATTAAACCCTACAGGCGGTGGGGCTACTATTCTCACCTTCCTAAAACCTGCGTCCGGCTCCTCCTCCGGCTCTGCTTCAGGTTCTGGGTGGACGTCCCGCCGGGGGCGCTGCCGGCGGGACACGGGGCCGTCCGGAACGCTGGGGTCGGGGTGAAGGACGTCAGAGGGCGCTGCCTGCTCGGGACAGGCAGCCCCAACCGTCCTCCCAGCTCAGGCCAGGTACCTGGAGTCCGCGCTCCGCTCCGCCAGCTCCGCCTCCTCCCCCTGCGGCGGTGGAGGCGGGGTCAGCGGGAGGCCCGAGGGGTGTGGCCCCGCTAGGCCCCACCCAGTGCCCGTCCCCAGCACCAGCTAGCTCCGCCCCCGGCCCCGCCCTCACCTCGGCAGGCCCCCTGCGCTCCTTGGCGACTTTGCGCAGCTCCTTGGCCGCCTGTGGTCCTGGTCCCCGCCCGTCGGGCGCCTCTGCTGGGGGAGGGGCAGGAATCAGCCAGACCCCTCGCCTGGGGCCTCCCCCTACGGTGTCAGGGTCCCTGGGCCCAGCCCCAGGCGCACTGCAGTGGGAAGGACTGAGTGAGACGTGAGCAGCACTTTCCCGGAGGTCAGACCTCACCTCTCTGTGCAGGGCCCTCAGAGTTCTCGACCCCAGGGACTCGGGGTCTCCGGGTCGGGTCCTGTGGGAGAGGGGCGGGCTCAGGCTTCGGGAGCCCCGTGCCACCGCCCCGCCCCTTCACCCGCCCCCTCTCACCAGGCTCTGCGGGGTGGGCGTCTCCGGCTCCGTGGCCTTCCCTGCGGCCTTCTCTGCCTCCTTCAGGTCCGTCAGGGTCACCCCCTGGCAGGGACAGGCGTCCCGTCAGACAGTCTCCTCCTCTGGGACTCACCCCAGAAATCAGAGCCCCAGTCGCTCCCGCCCTCAGACCCCGCAGTCCTGACCCCAGCTCCCTCCTCCCTCGGACCGGGAGTCGGGGGCCCACTCCACCCCCCACCTGTGTGGACCTCCGAGACTGGCGCATGAGGCGGGAACGGGCTTTACGCTGGGATTCCGACTCCTCGTCGCGCACCGGCATCTGGTAGGACCTGAGCAGAGGGCCGGGCCTCAGAGAGGGTTCCTTTGGGCCCTGTCCCCACCTCAAGGCTAACAGCCAGAGTTCTGCCAGAGCGGACTTCAACTCCCAGCAGGCCGAGGGGCAAGCTCTCCCTGAGACTCCCCGTCCTGAGCGCTGGGGGCTCTTGGGTAATGTAGTTTTCTCCCGGCTGGGTGCCCCCCCCCCCGCCCCCAGGCCTCTTACTTCCGGCGGTCCCTGGAGTCGGCTGGGGGTGCTGTGGAGGCTGGGGGGGCATTTGGCTTCACTGGGGGCTCAGGCTCCGGAATCCTGCGTGAAAGGGGAGTAGAGTTATCCAAGGATCTGTGACCTGGATTCATTCATTCATTCATTCAACAAATACCGATCAAGCCCCACATTGTGGGCGGGGCCCTGATGACACACAGTGAAAAAAAGACACCTCATCTCCATCCTGAGAAGATTAAATTTGAGCAGAAAAGTTGCAAAATAAGTTACACAAAAGAAATCAGCAGGTTGTCTGTCAGGAGAATTACTTTGCAGTAAAAAAAAAAAAAGAAATTGCCCTTTGAGCAGGGTGACCATGGTGGGCTGCATGGAGGAGGTGACATTTAAGCACCGACTGAGGGAGGAGGAAGTGAACTGGGTGGGTATGTGGGGGGAGGGCTGGAGCAAGGCTGAGAAGGGTGGGAGGCAGGTGAGAGGCAACAGGCCACTGGGGCCAGGTCTCTCTGATGTAGAGACCACAGTCTGGATTGAGCGTTTACTGAGAGGTACTGAAAGGGAAACTGAGGTGAAGCGTGGTGGAGAGCAAGGACCAGACCAGACCCGGAGAGGAGATGAACGTGCGGAGGGGTTGTGCTGACAAGGCAGGAACCCAGACCTGCCTGCCACCCCCAGAGGGGCCCAGGGGCTTGGCACTCACAGGGCAGGGGGCTCCAGCACCTTCCGGGAGGGGGCGATTCTGGCAAGACGCAGCTCCTTGGCCTGTGGAGAGAGGAGGAGAGGCAGGAAGAGGGGAGAGGAGAGAAGGGCAGCCCCATCGGCCTGGCAGGGCCCTGGTCCCCCTGCCCGTCTCACCCCACACACCTGAGTGGTGGTCCCTTCCAGCACAGAGGAGGAGGCTGAGCGCTGCAGCCCGGCCCCAGGGGCTCCCTCGGCACCCCGCCTTTCTGGGGGGCCCAGGGCGCCTGAGCTCCCTGTCTTCTGGAGGCCGAAGCGCCTAGGAAAGGGGGTCTCTTCGGGCGGCTGGGAGAGGAGGGAGGTCTCAGTGATGCAGGAGGCCCTTCCCTGAGCCCACCCCCCACAAGGGACCACAGCCAACTCTAACTCCCATCAGCACCACAGCCAGAGAGAGGCAGTTGGTTGTCCCAGAGGATTCTGGGAAGCACAATCTTCACCCTTATGGCACCCCACCCCCCACAACCCTAACACATCATCCCAGGACCCCCAGACTCACTGTGGGGCTCTTAGGGGTGCAGGGGGCCGGGGAGGAGACTCCATTGAGGGCTCTGGTTTCTGCAGGGGCAGACTCTGTGGTGGAAGAAGATGGAAGATGTACCAACATACCAGGTGCCTGAGGCCCAGAGAAGCCAGCCTCCTCCCTCAGACCAGGGGTCTCATCTGGGCCCCACTCCTCCTCCCTTAGACCCAGGAGTCTCGACACCCTCTCCTCCTCCCTCAGACCACATGTCCCGGCCCCAGTCTCTCCCCTCAGACCAGGGGTCTCGGCCCCCACTTCTCCTCAGACCATGAGTCTGGGTCTCAGCCCCTCACCCATGGGACCTTCTTCTCCCTCGTCCTCGTCCCGGATGGGGGGCCCTCCCGCGCCCCCCGGCCGGCGCTCCTTGGACAGGTCCTGGAGGGAGATCTTCTCGCGGCTGCTCAGCCGACACACGGAGCTCCTGCGGAGCAGGGGGGCCGCCTGAGTCCCGGGGCACCCCCGCCGTGCCCTCCACCTCAGGCGCTCCCTCCTACCTGCGGTGTTTGCTGCCAGAGGGGCCCTGTGACTCGGGGCCCCTGCTCTGAGAGGCCTCCTTCTGGCTCCGCAGCTGCCAAGAGAGAGGAGGGGTGCTGAGGGGCAGGTCCCCCGAGCCCACAGCGCCAACCCACAGCGGAGCCCGGCTGGAGCCCAGGGCCCGTGCTGAGGGGCAGGTCGCCCGAGTTCACGGCGCCAACCCACAGCGGAGCCGGATTCAGGCCTAGGGCCTGTCCCTGAAACGCCAGCGGCAGGGGCCGGCCCAGTGCTGGCTGGGTGACCGAGTGGTGGTAAGGTGTCCTCAGATGCAGAACCCTGCCCGTGCCCCTCCTGTCCCCAGCCCTGCAGCGGGGCTCCGAGAGCAGGCGGTGGGAGGCCCTCCCTGCCTGGTTCCCAGCCCCGAGGGGCCGGCAGGGTCTCGCCTGGGACTCACGGCCTCCTGCTTCTGGGCCAGCTCCTCCAGCAGCGCCAGGACCTCCTCGTCCGCGAGGTCACAGGGGCGCTGGCCCTGGGGGAGAGAAGGGCAGGTGAGCAGGGGCCGCGGGACCCCCCACCTCTGCCTGCCCGCTCGCCCTCCTGCCACCCGGGCCTGCCCTCACCGCGTGGGTCAGTGAGTCCATGCCCCCACCATGCTCGGCCAGAAGGCGGCAGGCATCCTCCACGCCCCAGTGGGCCGCGGCGTGCAGGGGAGTCCAGCCGTCCCCATCCCGGAGCTCTGTGTCGTAGCCAGCCTGAAGAAGCAGCCTGCAGGCCGGGGAGGCTTGGGGTCAAGGTCCATGGGGGACAGGGGCAGGGGATTCCGGGCCAGGGCTGGCCAGTGGGCAGGGCTGCGTTCAGTGCCGGGCCAGCAGTGACACCATGGAAACACTTCTGAATCAGCTGGTAAGGAGCCCCTACCCCGAGGGACCCCTTTGCTATGTGGGGTTGACCTGCCCCCCATGCTGGACCCAGGAGCTAGAAGTCCCAGCAGGGGACAATGACGGGGATCAACTCATGCTTGATGAGGCCTAGGAGGAGGTAAGAATGGAACCAACTGCTCATATGGGAAGCGGTGAGAGAACGAAACATGGAGCAAAGGAGACCCTGAGACCCAGGTGAGGATGAGAGAGTACAGTACGTACCACAACAGCCTAGCACACACATGTACCAGGCAACCTGGCTAAAAACACGCCAAGTAAAAACGACAGAACTACAGCAGAAACAAGTACCTCGTCGTAACTGATGGGATAACTGGGGGGTTTAACTGAATGACGCCAGAGATTTAAATAGCGTGGCTACAAAGCTGCCCTAACAGCCCATACAGAACGCTGTGCTTGACAATATACTCTTTTCCAGCTTTTATATACTGGGGTATAAGGCAAAGCTCAACAAATTTCAAAAGACTGGAATCACCCAGAATGCGTTCTCTGACCACAGTGTGATTAAGCCAGAAAATTTGTGTTAAACTGACGACTAGAAAGTCCCCTACATTTGGATATTAAGGACAGAATTTAAATAACCCAGGGGTCAAAAATGAAAGATTATGACTTAGAGAATGTTTCCAACTGAATGATAATGGAAAGACTCCATATCAAAACCTGTGGATGCAGCTAAGGCTGTATTTAGAGGAAAATACATAGCCTTAAAGGAGCTCTGGTGGCACAGTGACTAAGGCATCTGACTGCTAACCAGAAGGTTGGTGGTTCAAACCCACCACCCACACCACGAAAGGAAGACTGGGCAATCTACCTCCATCAAGATTTACCGCCTCTTGAAACCCAGTGGGGGTCACTACGAGTCAGAATCAACTCGATGGCAGTGAATTTGGCTTGTTTTTGGTATACTTTAGGTGCCTATACTAGGCTTTAGGTGCCTATACTAGAAAACTAAGAAACAGATCAGATGGCCAAGACAGTGAGAAGGAAGGGACGAGCCTTGAGCCAGGAGGGGCTAAGGAAAGCCCTAAGCTGGCCGGCTCACCTCATCACTTCGATGTAGCCCTTAGCGGCGGCCACGTGCAGGGCAGAGGCTCCGGTGCGGGGGTGCCGGGCCTCCGGCATGGCGCCCCCATTCAGCCAGCACCTTGTGTCGTGAAGCAGCAGCTCCTCCTCAGCCCGCTTAGCCGCCTCCACGTCCACCCCTGGGAGGGTGAGAGGGGTGAATGGCACACGTGTGGGTCACCAGGGCTGAGCTCCTCCCGCCCTTTCCCTCTGTGTTCTCGGCCTGGGGAGCAAGCAGACCAGGCCAGCAGTTTCCAAACCGTAGTGCGGAGTGGTGGGCCCTCCTGAGGGTGTCTGTGTCACTGCTGGGGCCAGAAAATGACGATCACAGGCCTTTTCCTGTCTAAGCACTGTCTCTATAACTACCATCACTACCACCACCAGCTCCATCACCACCATCTCCATCACCATCACCTCCATCTCCACTGTCACTCTCACCATCATCACCACCATCACCACCATCATCACCATCATCACCATCATCACCCCCATCACCATCATCACCCCCATCACTGCCACCACCATTTATAGAAAAAAGCTAATGTTTACTGAGAAATCTAGCAACCGATGATATCCAACTTTTCTTATGCTTTTAGGGACTGAATTATGTCCCTCAAACACATGTGCTGTGATCCTAACCCCTCCACCTGTGGTTATACTCCCCTCTGGGCATGGGTTTGCTGTTATGGTAATAAGGCAGGCTTAGTACAGGCGCGAATACTGCCTTGTTAAGTCAATCTCTCCTGAGATGTCAAAGAGGAGATCGAGGAAGCCAGGAAGCAAGAAGGGACAGGCAGAGCAGATGCCGAGTCACGTGAAGATCACTGAGGAACGAGGCTGAGAAAACACAAGACCTCCCAGAGTCGACACAGAGAGAAAGCACTCCTCTAGGGGCAGCCTCCTGCACTACGAGAAAATAAATGTCTGTTTGTCAAAGCCACCCCCTTGTGGTATTTCCATTTCAGCAGCTCCAGAGAACTGAGACAGCTTCCAGGACTATCCCTGACCCAGCAACTTTACACATTTCACCACCACTATCTCGGCAGTTAAGGTATTCAGCTGGTAACCAAAAGGCTGGTGGTTCGAACCCACCAGCTATTCCGTGGTAGGAAGATGAGGCAGTCCGCTTCCATGAAGACGTACAGCCTTGGAAACCCTCTGAGAGCAGTTCCGCTCTATCCAATAGGGTCACTACGGGTCAGAATCACCTTGATGGCGTGGACTTGGTTTGGTATCAGTTTTGCCGAGTACAGCCAGAATGCTCCTTAACAGTGAGGGTTCTTGATCAGTAAGAAAAATACTGACCAAAGTATCTGTGTTATTAGGGTACCAGCTTTTGTCCTACCCAGGTGCCGATTCCTGTTCACAGTCATGCTATGACACACACACCACGAATGTGTTTGCATTAACATCCTTTTGTTATATATTTGTGCATGTATGTATAATACACACGTGCTGTTGAGACAATTCTGACTCACAGCGCCCCTGGAGGACAGAGTGGAATTGCCCCACAGAGTTTCCAAGGTGGTTGTTGTTGTTATGTGTCGTCAAGTCAGACCTGACTCTTAGCGACCCCTCCTTGGGTTTCCGAGGCGGTATCACTGCGGAAGTAGATTGCCCAACCTTCCTTCCGAGGAGTGGCTGGTGGGTTTGAACCGCCAGCCTTCTGGTTAGCAGTCAAGCGCCTTAGGCACTACGCTACCAGAGCTCCTTCCAAGGTTGTAATCTTTATCAAAGCTAAGTGCCTCATCTTTCTCCCCTGGGGCAACTCGTGAGTGGGGTCAGGCTGCTGACTTTCAGCGAGTGTCGTCGTTAGGTGCTGTGGAGTCATCTCTGGCTCATAGCGACCCCACGCACAACAGAACACAGCCCTGCCCGGCCCTGCAACAGCCTCACGATCCCTGCTGTACCTGGGCCGTCGGTGCAGCCGCCGTGTCAGTCCACCGTGTTGAGGGCCTTCCCCTTTTTCAGTGACCCTTGACTTTACCAAACATGCTAGCCTCCCCCAGGGACTGGTCCCTGCCAATAACATGACCGGAGTACAGGAGAAGTGGGGCCATGCTCGACTCCGCTCGAGCTGTACGTCTTCCAGGACAGATTTGGTCATTCTTCCGGCAGTCCACGGTGCGTTCAGTATTCTTCATAAACACCACAAATACAAGGCAGCAATTCTTCTTCGGGCTTCCTTATTCACTGTCCAGATCTAATATACATACGAGGTGACTGAAAATACCATGGCTTGGGTCAGGCACACCTTAGTCTCCAAAGTGACATCTTTGCACTTTAAATAGCTCTTTCACAGCTGATTTGCCCAATAAATATGTCATTTAGGCATGGCATAGTATGATGAAAAAGTTTGAAATACTGTGAAAATCACCAAACTGTGACACACAGACACAAAGCAAGCCCATTCTGTTGGAAAAATGGCGCCGAAAGACTCGCTCAGACCCATTTACAGAAAACGAATTGTGTGTGGACCATTGTGAAACAGGCTCCGCCTGTATGTGTAAGCAATTGAGTACGTTTCCACAATAAGGCCGAAAACGGGATCCGAGAAGCGCCATCGTGTAGACCGCGAGACGGGACTGTCGTCAGTCAGATGGGCCATTCCTGGGTCCACCCGCTATCAAATCCATTCGGGTGGGAGCCGCGCTCTGGCGCCCCCTGGTGGCAGGTGGGCGCTCTGGCTTAACCTCCAACAGTCACGGTTGGGCATCCTGACGCCCTGGGATTTGGGTGCTATGAATTTGGGGGGTCTCCGAGGCCGAGGGCAGTGGTCTTCACGGCAGGCCCCCACCACCGTCAACGGCAGTACAGGGCGCCCTGCCCCAGGCACTGCCCTGCTCTTTCTGCAACCACACCCTCTATCCAGTTCCAAACGTCTCGTCAGACAGAAACTCTGTACCCGTCAAACGGTCAGTCCCCTTCTCCTGGAACCCTGGTGGCACAAGAGTGAAGAACTAGGCCGCTAACCAAAAGGTCGGCTGTTCAAACCCGCTGAGGGGCTCTGCGGGGGGCAGACCTGGTGACCTGCTCCTGGGAGGATTACTGCCTGTGACTCTATGGGGCAGTTCCACTCGGTCACACGGGGGGCGCCACGGGGCGGAATCAACGCCAGGGCAACTAACGAGAGGGGCCAAGCGAGCCCTCGGGTGGACAGCCTGGCAGGCCCCCGACCACAGTGGTCGCAGCTGGCATCGCTTGTGAGGAGAAAGACAGACAGCAACCGTCCCCCGACGGGCTGCACTGGGAAGGTCCTGCCAAAGACGTTTAACGGACCGTCAGTGCAAAGGAACATGCAGACCCACTCCCTCCAAGAGGTCAATGTCGGAAAAACAAAGGGCCCCAAGGAGCCAGGGGGACGGAGACAGGGCAGTGGAACCGAGACCGGGGCTGGCTGGGGGCAGGGTCGAGAAGCAGAGGGGAGGCTCTGCCGGAGCTCACGGGCCGCCTGCGGCTACAGAGTCGGGGGAGCGCCGTGCTCAGCCTCAGGCTTAGAGGCCTGCAGCCGGGTCCTGAGTAACAACCTAACAGTCCCCAGGCCCAAGCAGAAGGGCCTTCTCTGAAGAAACCTTGCTGGAGTGTGTGTGTGGGGGGGGTGCGGATAGTAACAAGGTCTGCGCGGTTGCCACCTTTAACTCGGCTGCCGACTGTCACCCCAGCATTTCAACACTGAACAGGCCCCCCGAGGGACCACTATAGGAAGTCCCGGACAGAATGGCAGAAAGACGTGGGACAGAACACAAACTCATGAAAATGGTCAGGCTTCCTGGTCTGATAAAGGAGCTCTGGTGGCACCATGGTTAAAGCACTCAGCTGCAAACCAAAAGGTTGGTAGTTCAAACCCACCAGCCGCTCATGGGAGAAAGATGTGGCAGTCAGCGTCCCTAAAGATCACAGCCTTGAAAAGCCCGGGAGGCAGTTCCCCTCTGTCCTCTAGGGGCACTGACACGGGACCACCCCACAGCACTGGCTTTTTTGGTACCTTGACCCCTAGGAGCTCTGGTGGTGCAGTGCCTAAGGCATCTGACTGCTAACCAGAAGGTTGATGGTTCAAATTCTCCAGCCACTGTGCAGAAGACTGGGCAATCTACTTCCATAAAGATTTTGTTGTTGTTGGTACGTGCCGTGGAGTTGGACCCGACTCATAGCGACCCCTCCTAGGGTTTCCCAGGCAGTATCACTACAGAAGTAGATTGCCCAACCTTCCTTCCGAGGAGTGGCTGGTGGGTTTGAACCTCCAGCCTCTGGTTAGCAGTCAAGTGCCTTAGACAGTACGCCTCCACAGCTCCTCCATAAAGATTTACTGCCTTGGAAACCCAAAGGGGGTTGCTATGAGTTGGGATCCACTCAATGGCAGTCAGTTTTGTTTTTTGGACCCCTAGGGCACGGGGTGGCTCAGTCATCCACAAGCCCCCCACACCCCTGACGACAGACACATGGTCTCCTGTAAAGGCCGCTGGCGGGGCCCTTCCATCTAAGCTCACAGACTTCCAGACGGACAAGCTCCCTCCTTTCTGGGCCTCCTTCTCCTGTCCCCGGGGGTCTTGTCATCATTCTGAGCCTGTCAGGTGCCCAGCAACCTGAGCTCCTCGACGCGGACCCACGGCACCCTGCAATCAGCTTTGGAGGCAGCCCCAGAAAGGTAGGCTGAAGCCCTAACCCGGTGCCTGGGGGTGTGACTTGGTTTGGAAATAGGGTCCTGGAAGATGTCAGTTCACGTGGTCACACCGGAGAGGGGCGGGTTCTAATCCAACATGAGTGCGGTCCTTGAGAGGCACACTGAGACACAGCGGAGACAGCCGTGGAATGACCTATACACCCGGGCGGCCAGCCGTCGCCAGAAGCTAGGAGACAGGCAGGGAGGGAGCTCGCTGCAGAAGGAATCAACATGGCTGACACTCGGCCCTAGGCCTCAGGCCCAGAACCGTGAGGCCACGTTTCTGCTGCTCTAAGCCACGCAGTGTGCAGGACTGGCGGGCAGCCCCGGGAACGGGCACACGTGCCCTTCACGGGTGAGGCAACAGACACAGAGCTGCCTCGAGGCCCCAGGGCAGCCCCCTGGCAGGCAGGGAGGGGAGGCAGCACAGCCCAGCGGACAACAGCCAGAGGCCCACCTCGGTGGGCGATCTCCGCCCTCAGCAGCCCTTCCATGGCGTCCGACTCGGCCAGGTCCAGCGGCAGGTCCCCATCGCTGTTGACGGCGGCGATGTTGGCCCCGTGGCTCAGGAGGTACCTGGGGGTGGGGGCAGGGAGGTCAGGGCTGCGCCTGCGCCGGCCCCGCCCCTGCGCTGGCCCCGCCCGCCGCCCTCGGCCTCACCTGGCAATGTCCAGGTACCCGCAGGAGGCGGCCACGTGCAGGGGCGTCCAGCCCTCGTTATCCGCCTGGTTCACGGTGGCGCCCTGCTGCACCAGGAAGCGCACCACCTCCAAGTTCTCGTCTATGCAGGCCTGCGGGGGAGGCCGGGGGCGGGCTCAGCCCGGACCAGAAACAGACCCAAGGCACGAGGGGGCGCAGAGGGCAAGGAAAAAGACACCGAGGGCCCCCGCTGCGAGGGCCCCGGGCACCCTAACTTCCCAGTGGTCGAGTCCATGGAGTATTCAACGCGCAGGGAGACCACGCCCACACGTGACCACATCACACGGGAACCGTACTCGGGAGACAGACAGACACACAGACACAGACACAAGAGCCCCCTCCCGAGGAGCTCAGACCACATGGGAGACCCTTCCCAGGAGACAGACAAACACACACACACACACACACACACACAGCCCCTCCCAGATCACACCCACATGGGAGACACCCCCCGAGACCACGCCCACTCACGAGACCCGCCCAGAAAGGCCACGCCCACACGGAGACGGCCCACGGAGAGACAGGGCTTCCCCTCCTGCCCGACCTGCTGGTCAGCACACACCCGCGCTACCCACAGGATGGGGCCCTCATGTTGGGCCAAAGGGAAGGGGCTTCGGAGCAGTCCTCCGTCAGACCCAGCGCCCACCCGGTGCTCGCTGCGGGCCCTGGCTCTGCACCCCGCCCCCCGGCTGTGCTAACTTGGGGAGTGCTTGAGTCCTGCATTTCCAATTCTTCACTGAGGGCTCCCTGCAGCGGGAGGGTTAGCAAGATGGTCCCTGCGGCGCCAGGCACAATGCCCGCCACACGGGGGCTCCCGGTCGAGTGCTGGGGACTGGGGCGTCTCCCCTCTCAGGAGGCCCGCCCAGGACTGGGCTTCAGGGGTGCAGCCAGTCTCCCCCTCAGGGTGCACCTATGACCCGCCGGAGACCCCCGAGAACAGCGGCGGGGGCGGAGGTCCTGGACCCGGTCAGGGAGAGGGCAGCAGGAGCGGTACTCGGGGCCCGCTTGTAACACACAAGGTAGCGACTTGGCGGGGCCCCTGGGCCTGAGAGAGGAGATTGGCCCCAGACTCCGGGGCCCTCAAGATACATGAACCCCCCAATCCCTCACCTCTCCAGCCTCCCATCTGGGGAAGGGGGGAGGAGGCTGGAGGGCCGAGGGCATGAAGTCATGGAAAGTCGGCGGGGAAGGGGGGCCGCACGTGCCCTGGGAACGGGATGAACTCTGCGCTGGTGTATTTCCAGCCGGTCGCCATGGCGATGGGGGAGGGGGGCGGGAGGGAGATGGGCTTTTCCCTTTCAAGGACCTGGCCGGGCCTGGGCATGAGGCAGCCAGGAATCTAGGGCCCAGCCCCTCCTCCCCCAGCTCCTCCCTCAGACCCCGGAGTCAGGGACCCAGCCCCCAGCCCCAGTGCACAACCATTTGAGGCAGGGAGACTGTACCAGCCTGGCCAGGGTTCATGACCCCATCTGAGGCAGGGGCTGAGGCATGAGAAGCAGGAGGGCACCGCCAGGGCGGGGGTGCTGGTGCTTGGGGACCTGCCCCGTGGAGATGTTAGCCAAGATGCAGGAGGCACCAATCAGTGGTCCAGTGTGCCTGGGACCTGGATTCTCAGTGTTAAAACGGGGGCAGGCCCCAGCAGCCCAGGGTGGGTCAGTCACTCCACACCCAAGGCTCCCCAAGGTGGGACATGCCCTCTCGGGGCGTCTCCTGCTTACCCTCCAGTCCTGCCGCAGAGCCCTGGGGCGGGAGTGCCGGCCTCGTGGTGGGAGGCCAGGGCCACCTACCACCAGAAAGGCAGCCTTGTGCAGGGGGCCTGGGTCGAGGCTGCGGGCTGGGGCCCTCGGGGGACCCTGGGGAAAGGGGCTATGTCTGAAGACCCGAGCCAAGGACTCCTTCAGGGAAGGCCAAAGAGAGCTAGGGGCAAGGGGCAGCGTAGGAGGGGGACGCCGTCTTGAGACCGCTCTCCAGGGGAAGGGGTACCCTGCTCTGGGGCAAGACTGTTGTCCCGACAGCACCGGGGTCTGTGCAGGGAAGAGGACTGGGCATGCAGAGAGTAAAAGCGGAAGGGCTAGCACTTAGGCCTGGAGTCCCTGGCCCGGCAAACAGTTAAACACCGGGCTACTGACCAACAGGTTAGTCGTTTGAACCTAAGCACCAGTGCCCCGCCAGGAAGCCCTGCCAGTCTGCTTGCGAAAGGTCACAGCCTCTAAAACCCTACGGAGAAGTTCCACCTGCACTCGGGGGTCACCGTGAGTCAGACGTGACTTGAGGACATTTACACGAGGGGACAGCAGCACCCAAGCTCAACACCTATGACCCGTCGGGACTTCAGCAGCGAGTCCTCCACCCCGTAAGCCCGGTCCCCCCGCAGAGCCCTGAGGGGGTGGGGCTGAGGCTGGCCCCGTTTTACAGAGAAAACTGAGAGCCACAGAGCAAAGATGCCGCGCGCGGTGAGCCGAGATCGGAACTCAGGGCAGACGGCGCCCGTTTCCCGGACTGCGGCCTCTTGCTGGGAACCCGAGGACTGCAGTCCTCACGCAGATCCCCCCTCTCACCCCCTGAGATGTCCTTCTACGGCTCCACCGGGAACCCTCACTCCACTTCCTGAGGGGCTCCCGCAGCAGATGGGGCCGGACTGACAAGGGGACACCGGGAGGGAGGCCTCAGGGATGGGGGCGCTTCTCTGTGGCCAGTCCTGTCCCTAGTGACCCCATCCGGGGGAGGAGAGGGGACTCAGAACCGAGAGAGAACCCTGGGGGCAAGGAGGTGACCCTGGTCCCGGGACACAGGAGCCTTGAAGGCAGAAATCAGGCGACTTGGAGAGGGCATGGGGGCCCAGGCTGGGGAGGGAGGGGACTAACAGGGTTCTGGAACCCTCGGAAGGAGTCCTGGGTGGTGGACACATTTACCCGACTCAGCTGCTAACGGAAAGGCTGGAGGTCCCAGTCACCCAGACAGAGGTGCCTCGGGAGAGCCCTGGGAATCTATTTCCAAAAAGCCAGGCACTGAGGATCCTATGAGGACGGCGCCGCTCTGACACACCTGGCGACGCCACGTGTCGCAGTTGACGTGACAGCAAATGGCACGGGGGTAGGCAGGGCTGGGGGCGCTGGGAGAGATCCCACAGTCTGGGGGAGGGGGAAAACTGCCCAGGTACAAGGCGTCAGACGTGCCCCACATCCATAGAAGGAGCGGGTGTCAGGGCCGAGAGGTGACCCAAAGCCAGGAGAAGCCAATGTGGT